CTTTAGTGATCAACGTAAGTATATTGTAAGGCATTCTAGGCTCAGAATCATGCATTTTTGTTTTATAATATGTTTATTTAAAATTTTACCAATACAAACATTTCGGAAATAATCATTTCTTCATTTTAATTTAATGTAACAAATTATCATTAACCATTATCTTTTTCTAGTCTATTATTATTATATAGGATTTTATATTTGAGACAACACCTTTTTTATAAAGTTCCATGACCATGTATTAATGTTATACCTTCTTGTTCATCCTCTTTGATCACAACATCATTATTATTGACAAGAGATGGAGAGAAAGAAAAATGTGAGAAAGCTATCTATGATGGATGATAAGCTCTCACTTGTAAATATTATTATTTATTTATTTTGTTATATAAACTTGATATATTAAATTTTGGATAATATTTTATTTATTATAATAAAAAATTATTTAAACACACATGCATATATATCTTTAGAGGAACCATTACTAGCAAGAGGTTTAATGATATCCAATTATTACAATGCATAAATATATAAAATTTAGTTTCTAAAAAAAAATTTTTTAAAAAAAAGGTGATTGATAACAAACAAAATTGTTTTATGCGTATTATGTGGATCAGATTGAATAGGGAATCTTACTGACAAATGGTTTTTGGTATTGATTTGAGAGTTAATTGTTATTTTCTTTTTTTATTCAAGAGAATTGTTTTGAAAGTAGGTCACTTATGTATTTTGATTAATTACATAATTAGAGAACATTATTTTTGATTTTTTAATGATGCATTTAAAAAACAAGGATTTTTAAACAACAACAATAGATATACTCAGGGTGTAATTATAAGGTGATTTATACAATTCAAAAAATGTATTTAAAATATATTTCTTTTATATATATATTTATATTTATATTTATATATTTACATATTTACATTTATTTTTATTTTTATTTTCAAAATTCATATATTCATTCATATTCATGTCACCAATTTATTTAATTATAGGAAATGTCAGATATATATATATATATATAGTATTATATAATGGATGACAATTCATGATCAAAGGTAAAATGTTGATTTGATGAAGTCAATGAAAAGTTGAAAAGTAAATAATGTATTAGACTTTATAACAAAAAACCAAGCCTATCTATTAAAACATTCAATAAAGAAATACTATATATATTAATTTTTTTATTTATTATAAACATTTTATTTTTATAAATTTGGAACTAAATTTCCTTCCCTCCAATATTAATATTGGTCTTTCAAATTTGCATAACGATCTTCAAGCCAATAAAATTTAATTTTTGCATGATATCTGGAAGGGAGATTGTCACATAATTTAGCCAATGAAATCAAATGTCCACTATGCTCATGCGACTGGTGTATTTAAAGCATGATGGAATTTCTCTTTATCACATTGGTCCCATAGTGACGATCTTGAAATTATACTGTGTAACAAAAAATAATTTTAAAATAGATTTGTATATGTAAAGTCACGTTTACAATTGGCAAAAAAATTATTTACATAATAATTTTTAAATAAACTTTGTGGTTAAATGTAAAATAAAAAAAAAAATGTAGTTTCTACTTTTGTCATCCAGCAGAGGTCAATACACATAGACTTTTACTAGAGGTGAAGGAATTTAAATAGTAACTTTCACTTAACTAAAGAAAGTTTTTTTTCTATTAAAATTATCAAGTAAGCTTTACTTTTAAGTGGGAAACCAAGTGTAGACTATTGTTGAAACTTCTGTCATCCAGCAGTCGTTAATATCTGAGGAGCTTTACTAATAAGGTATTTTTCTATGGTATTATATATGAGATCGTTAAATTGTAGAATTTACTTTTTTTATTTAATAATAATTTATTACATATTAATAAACTATTGATCTATTACAAGTATATAATTACAAAATATATAATTACAAATAATTTTATTAGATATCATATTAATAACTATTGATTTATTACAAATATAATTACAAATAATTTTATTAGATATCATGTCAATAAATATTGATTCATTACAAATATATAATTACAAATAATTTTATTAGATATCATATTAATAAATATTGATTTATTACAAATATATAATTACAAACAATTTTATTAGATATCATATTAATAAATATTGATTCATTACAAATATATAATTACAAATAATTTTATTAGATATCATGTTAATAAATATTGATTCATTACAAATATATAATTACAAACAATTTTAATATTAATAAATATTGATTTATTACAAATATATAATTACAAATAATTTTATTAGATATCATGTTAATAAATATTGATCCATTACAAATATATAATTACAAATAATTTTATATCATGTTAGTAAATATTGATTCATTACAAATATATAATTACAAACAATTTTAATATTAATAAATATTGATTTATTACAAATATATA